CTCTCAAACACCACCGGTCACCGTTTTGCAGGCGGCGCTACTCCAAGTGGAGGCTGGTTTGGCCCACGGGAGTTGGGCGGAGGTGAGTCATGCTTCCCGCATTTGGAGGTTTGGTTTCCCGTTGTCCGGGGAAGTGTGGAGGCTGTATTGTATAGGGGTAGGGGGCAGGGGAGCGGGGCGGTCAGCGAGTGGTCTATTGAACTCAATCCTTGGGCGCGATAATGGTATGCTCGCCCAGCACATTATCGTGTTTTTTTGTGTGTGAAATTCTTCCTTCTTTTTTTGTTTCTCTCCGCGAAGTTTGGTGTAGCGGGGCGCTCCGAGGGACTGCAACGGCCGGCCGCCGTCGGTGGTTCCAACCAGCGTTTGTTCTTGTCATGTGGCGCGGCAGCTTTTCACTGCTGTTCTTTCTTTTTTTGTCCCTGTATTAGTTTGTGTAGCGGGCGTCCCTCGCCGCTGTACCCCTGTGGAGGGAGGATCAGAGGTCGTCAATGAAGAGCTGTGTATTTACCGTTCCCTCCTCGTTCATTACTCTTGTTAAAATTTCATCTCGCCCCGCCCCCCCCCCCTTGTTCCCGGTCCGGTGAGAACCCCGCGTGCTCCGTCCCGGCTTTGTAGGGATGCGAGGTCAATGGTCTAACGACGACGGTTTGCAAGACTATTAGTACACCCCGCCCCCGCCCCCCCCCTGTCCCGCTTCCACAGGTTTCCCCCCGCGGGGTGTTGTGGAATTTCGCTGGCGCCGTAGTCGTTCGGCTGTTGGCCATGGTTCTCATTCCTACGGTGGTCTCTCTTGTGGCCGGCACCTGGATGGATGCATATGGCGCCGACGGGCAGTTTGTGCAGGTGCGAGCGAACGTGCATGCCTGGCTAGAGTTGTTGTCGTTATCGTTGATGGTGGTGGTGGTGGTGGGTGGGGTTTCGCACACCGAAGCACGCATCGCACTTCCCACGTTGTGGCTCTGCTGAAGTTGAGACTCGCCAGCTTGTACTGTACACTATTTTTTTGGTGCCCTGCCCTGTGTGCTGCGACAGGGAGCAAAGCTTTCATGTCATGCCTTTGTACAAAGAGAATCGAGTGCGGTCCACGTGCGTGTTTGATGCATGCATGCTTCCCTGAGCCTCTTTGCGTCCACGCGGTTGCGTTTCTGTGTACAGAGGCTATCTTTGTTTTTTGCCTTTTCTGAACGGTGGTATCATACTAATGTACTTTGGCGGTGGTCAAGACAAGGTTAAGGTTGTACCGCTCCTCGAGAACTGAGATTTTTGTTTTGAGTTTTTGCGGTTCTGCCGCCGTTGTTGTTGCTGCCAATCTGCAAGAGATGTTACCGCTCCTCTCGTCGGTGGCAAACACCAAACCACCGCGCCCCTTCCCTCCCCCCTCCCTCACAACGCGTTATCCTTTTCGTTTACCGCTGCGACTGCCGCTGCCGTCGCCGTCGCCATCTCCGGAAACGACCGCCCCCCTTTCGAATGGCGAAACGCTCAACAACAACACACACAGTTGGGACACTTCAGGGCGGCCCTGTTCGCCCTCACGCTCACCAGGGCCTCGGCCTACCTCATCCAGCCCGTCCGGGCTTGGCTGACGGCTCTACACGACAGCGTCCGAGACGACCGTTACCTGGTGGGGATGAGGCTGCAAGACCACTCGGATAAGGTACTTGCAAGCCAAGCCTCCGAGCGTTGTGCCGGACATGCAATAAATTTACAGCCGGAAATCAGCACACACCCCTCTAAGGGGAAAATCGTCATGTTTTGTGTCGTCGTTCTTTTTGGCTTGTTTTGGTTAAAAAGCGCCGCATCGACATTTTTGGTAAGAGGTAACACGTTTTCACTTACATGCCGAGTGTGCCCATATCGGAAAAACTGGTTTGTGCGTGTATGGATGTGATGTGGTACGATCTGACGGGACTCCCGGAGGAGGAGTGTCGCAGTATGTGCTGTCGTTGTTCTTTGGAGGCTGCTGCGCAATCACTCTGGGAGGACGACAGAGCGTAGAGAAAATCGATCAAGATGTGCATCATGTCTCCCACGTTGACTGCCTGGCAACGCCAGCTGGTGGTGTGCGTACATGCATACGAGAGTAGGGTTACTTATTGAGGCAGGCGTGGCACGATAAGTGGCTGCCTCTGTTATCTACCTTCTTGTCTGCCTTTAGCGAGACCAATCTCGCGGGAGATGAGAGCACCCGCCTGCGACTGCTCTCGTAGCGGAGAGAGTTGGCGACAGGAATGAATGCCTTGGACACGTCTGATGCGACAAGAATGCATGCTTGGAGTTATCAGTCTAGGAGTTCAGGTCTAGGAGGAGACACCAGCCTCGTTCTTGCTGAGTTTGTTTGTATGCTCAGTACGGGGAATAAGGAGAGCGTGCAAGAACGACAAATGCGAGGTGCCCACTATACACCTTCGACCTGATGTCTTATGATTGCGACGACGACACCGGCGACGATGACGACACCGGCGACGATGTCGACGCCTTCCAATTCCGCCGGACCGACAAGCACTCCGGCAAGAAGCCATGCGGGGAAGCACCCCTACGACACCTCGCACAACAGTCGTCTACCGACCCATGTCTCAGGCGGATCTCGCGAGATCCGTGCCAGACCGGGAGGGAGCTGGTACCGGTTGCGGTCTCCCGTGCGGTACACGTCGAAGGCGGCAAACTCCGCTGCATGACTGCGAGGCGTCGCCGATGGAGGGGGCATAGCCCAGGGCGCC